TCTCCCCTAAGTTTATACTGAACATGCTAGCATTGCTTCATTTTGTCTCATATGAGATGGGCTGTATCAGAAGTAGACATAGGAAGCTGCCTTACATTGGGTCAGACACTTAGTCCACCCAACTCAGTATTGTCTGCACTGACTGGCAGCTGCTCTCTAAGATTTCAGGCAAAGGGTCTTTCCCTGGCCTGCTTGGAGATGCTGGAGACTGAACCAGATGCAAAGCACATGCTCTAACACCAAGTTATCAGTTTTTCCTCCACTCATAAGTAGCCCTTGCCAACATGTAAGTGTAAACTGAATTGACAGACTCTTTCTTTCTAAGTAACAGGTAGAAAGAAAGAAAGAAAGAAAGAAAGAAAGGGAATGTGGTTTAAGCCTGTTGATATTTTGTGGGAGGGGGTATTGTTTTTGTTTGTCACTATGTCATGTATATTTGTGTTTTTATGTTGTTTTTTATTTTAACATAACTTTATTGAAATTCATAAATAACGTACATAATAGACACACTCTTAATTTGACAAAAATGAAAACAATCATGTACTGATACTCTTCTTTGGATTCACAAAAATTAAACTTAGTTTAAATTTATACAATCTCTTTTTTCCTATCTTTTTACTGTGGTTTTTATGTTGTAAATGGACCTGTGATCGTCAGATGAGAAGGGTGTTAATAGAAATTTAAACACCTCAGGTTACAAACTCCGCTAACCCGGAAGTAGTACCTCGGGTTAAGAACTTTGTGTTGGTTTCTGCTCTCTTCACTGTGCAGCGAAGTGCTTGTCACGGGACAATGTTTTTCATTCCACAGTCAGAGTACTGTTGGGTTTCCCACGGGAACGGGAGACTGGATGTGACGTACACTGGTTTCCTGTTTGTCTCTTTTCTCTCGGTGCTCCGAGGAGAAGGAGGTTGCTTCTCTGCTCTCGCAGAGGCAAGATGCATGTTTGTAATCTCTCAGCATTGAAGTGTAAATAAAGCAAAATTAAGCATGTGGCACGTACTGCTCATCCTTCCGCTGTGTTCAGGACTCTGCAAATACAACACTTTGCCCCAGGATGGGAACAGAAATTGTGCGGTGGCGGTGTGGCGGCACTGGGAGGCCCCATTAGCTAAAGTGGTACCTCAGGTTAAGAACGGTTTCAGGTTAAGAATGGACCTCCAGAACGAATTAAGTTCATAACCAGAGGTACCACTGTAAATGTATTAAAGTAAATCCCAACAAATCATGAGTAGAGCCCTATTCATGTGAAATAACTTTTTCTTTCTGTAGTTGCTTTTGTTCTTTACCCTCTCCACACCAATAAACCCCCTCATTCCTGCTCCAGTAGATTGGGGAACCTCTGGTGTGTGTGTGTGTGTGTGTGTGTGTGTGCTGTAGCTAGTAAAAAATTGACAATTAGCTGCTGGGGAACAGAACTCTCTGGAATCCTGCCTGTTGTTACGCCATGACCATTGAGTTTTGTGGAAATAATTGTGGTTTAATGATTGGTGGAGAATTCATTGCATTTGCATTTGCTTCTACATTTTAGTTTGAAGGGTACAGTTTTGTGTCTGCAACTGTAGCCTCTGCCTTACTAGACTGTATGCTTGCTGTATTTTCTCTCTCTAAAGGAAGTTTTCAATTTATTTTTTGAATACAACTGTTGTACCAAATGAATACTTCTGTAATTAGAGAAGTATCCAATATCAAACTCCACCCTTGATATTTCTCTTACTACTGCAATTTTGAAATTGTCACTCTTTAAAATCGCAGCACTCTTAAAGTAAAAAATAAATAACTAAAGATAAATCTATATAGTCTTGCGACCTGTGATGTTATGTTTATTTCCTCAGATTACTCTCTGTTTCTTCTCTGGCTTTCTTCTGTTTCTGAAATCTTTGGAGTGGGAACCTTCTTTTTCCGGTCTTTCAGAATATCTTGTCTGTGAAGTAAGTTACTCTCCAATATTGTGAAACCATCAGGTTAGGTTATATTGACTGTACAGTAAACAACAAATGTGCATTTGCCAATTAATAAATAAATGGTTGTACTGATAAGCCAGATTCTTGAGCCTGTCTTATCCACTGTTGTGAAGCAGACAGACAGAGGCTCGGACCCTGACTTTCCAGAGTGTCGGTCAGTCTTTCACACCTCTGCAATTGGCCGTCCTATGTCTACTTTTTATTTTCCTTTAATTCACCTGGGGCATTCTGACAACCAGTTATAAATACAATATAATGTATTTTTTATTATTATTTTGGGGAATTACATTATATATTGCATATATATTCTGAAACTGTCTAGATTTCTGACTGGATGGGGCCATACAGTCTTCAGAAGGCTGAGAAGAATTTTTTTGGTATAACAGCATAATGGTTTCGTATATTTATCTGTATACAATTCAGGGTCAAGCTGAAGGGAGAGGCCTCTGTTTTAGGATGCTTTGGATTTCGAATTTCATGAGTTTTTAAAATGCCTGTGGAGGCAGGAATGAGGAACCTATAGCTGTCCAGTCCTTGTTGGACTCCAGCTGCTATCAGGCTCAGCCGGCATGGCTGTTGGTCAAGAATGATGAGAGTTGTAGTCTGGAGGGCCACAGGTTCCCCACTGGCTTAAGGAGATTCATATGATCCAAAGACATATATCTATGACTATATGTTTTTATTTGGATAAATCTACCCATTTGTAGGGGGACGCGGGTGGCGCTGTGGGTTAAACCACAGAGTCTAGGACTTGCTGATCAGAAGGTCGGCAGTTCAAATCCCCGCGACGGGGTGAGGTCCCGTTGCTCGGTCCCTGCTCCTGCCAACCTAGCAGTTCGAAAGCACGTCAAAGTGCAAGTAGATAAATAGGTACCACTCCGGTGGGAAGGTAAACAGCGTTTCTGTGCGCTGCTCTGGTTTGCCAGATACGGCTTAGTCATGCTGGCCACATGACCCGGAAGCTGTACGCCGGCTCCCTCGGCCAATAAAGCAAGATGAGTGCCGCAACCCCAGAGTTGGCCACGACTGGACCTAATGGTCAGGGGTCCCTTTACCTTTACCTTTACCCATTTGTAAAAATGACTGTACATATGATAAAGCTAAAGGGAATGGATTCTGTCTTCCTAAAAATCCGTATTATAAAGGCACTAGCTGTTCAGATTCTTATGGAGTTTCCTGGCATGAACTCATTCCATGCTGCAGTTGTTGGACTGGTTGAACTGGGTCGTTCTTGAAGCATGGAATCCTCTTATTTTGGCCACAATGAACCAAAGAAATCCCAGTTCTGTTTATGCACACCTGCTGCTCAACAACTTCGTTTGGGTTGAATGCAGCAGTTATTTTTCTCCCCCACCACTGACTTCACATTCCAGTGAAATCTCTAAGCATTTCATTGTCATTAGATCCCATTAAGGAAATGAATTAAGGCTGATCTTTTTCCTCACCAGCCTCCTTTACAAATACAGCAGCAGAGCTGTATTATTCTGTGAGACACTCCCAGTTTCCTGAGTGGCACTAAGTTCAAAGTACAATACTGCTCAGAGTTTCACTTTGTTTCAGAGAACAGATCAGTGCTTTTTTTCTGGGGATACTCAGACCCCTAAACATTTTATGAATCTTTGTACTTTTGTCCATTTACTGTGTTTATTTTCCCCAATTTGAACTATAAAATGGTGATTTTCTTGAGTCAAAATGAGAGTACCCCTAAACATTTTTAAAGAAAAAAAGCAGTCTAAAATATTTGCTCCCCCTCCCCCACCAGGTTTTTTTGGGTTTTTTTTAGGCTGTAGCCTCTTTCAGTCTCCCTGCTGATTTTCCAAATGTCTAATTTTGCAGATAACAAATTGGGGGCAGCAGGGCTGGGCTGCCCTGTTTTAAAGAATTTCTAATTTTAAATTTTAAAGAATTTCTAATTAGTTTTATTCCCTGGAATTATTTTGATCATACTTCCATGGATTTGTCCTGGCAAGTTCCATTCTGGAAGCAATGCTAGAAACACAGAATTTGCAACATCTGTGGCAGATTCTGGTTAAAGCAGATTCCGGGCACACCGTCCTAGTGTTCATACAATGACTTAATAGGGCTACTGATACCTAGCTTTGCCAAAGCTGATGAACCAATTCCTACCACTCTGCTTGTGTTTTGATGTGGCTGTTGCATCCTTCATAAAAGGATGGGCCATTTAGGGCAGGGGACCCTTTCCAAGAAACACAGTGGAAGGAACTGCATGATCTCTGGAATCCTTAAATTGTGCCCTTTTGTAGAGACCCTAATACCTGATCTAGGTAAAGCTTTGGGGCGGAAACATTCACAAAGCAGAAAAGAAAACAAATAGCCAAAATTCACAAGTCTTGCATTCATCCACTTTTCCCAACTGAACACCATTTATTTCTACCCTCCTCCTCCTTCGCTTTGTAACAAATTTCTATTGAGACAGATTTCGAGATGTGAATGCCAGAAAGCCCTACTGGTAATGTGGAATTAGTTGTTTCTTTCTCTGGAATGTGCCTCTGCAGTAGAGGAGAAAGTATCCCAAGTGTGTGCTTTTTGTATCTTATCTCCGAAATATCAACATCTTAATTTTATCTTGACAATATTTTATCCCTTAGAATGTTGTTGCCTCATTTTCCTCATATAGGTTGTGTTGCCTCTTGAAAGCTATGGAGGGACCCTGGGGTTGTTTTTGTGTGTGGCCTGATGGATTCCTAAGCCCTCTTCCTTTCTTTATTTTTATCTGCTACTCTGCCTTATTTGGTGTGAAGCAGCTCCATTTGCACTGCATTCCTGCTTGGCAGGGGCTTGGACTCGATGGCCCTTGTGGTCTACTCCAACTCTATGATTCTATGATTCTATTCTATGACAGGGGTGAGGAACCTGTGGCCTCCCACACATTGCTGGACTCCAGCTCCCATCAGTCCCAGCTAGTGGTCAGGGTATGCTGGGAGTTGTAGTCCAGCTGCCTCTGGAGGACCACAGGTTCCCCACAGCTGCATCACGAAAAGCTCTCCTGCTAACCTCACCTTGTTACACCAACAGCTGCACTGCAGGCATTGAAGAGGAAAAAGAGATACGAGAAACAGTTGACCCAAATTGATGGGACCCTTTCCACCATTGAATTCCAACGCGAAGCCCTTGAAAATTCCTACACTAACACGGAAGTGTTCAAGAACATGGGCTATGCAGCCCAAGCGATGAAAAAGGTGCATGAAAACATGTAAGTGGAAAACACAATTTCAGCTGTCCATTGGAAATGCCCTTCAATGTTAAGGTTACCATTGGGTTTGTTTTGGTTTGTGCTGTTGTTTTCGTTAGATCCTCAGGTGTGGCAAGATTTTATGGGTAGACATTAGGGGCTGAGTGTGGTATTTTTGGCTCCTGTGGTGTTTTTGCAGGCCCTGTGGCAGTCCAGATTAACATGATTAGCTGCTCACTGTAGTCTGTGCTGCGCTGAGATTCTGGTGTGCAAAGCATGTGCTGAACTGGTGAGCTACAAGGGTGTCCTTCCTTTCCATTTTAGGTTATGGCCAATTTCTTTGTGTGTGTGGAGGGATGATTCTAAAACAAAACAAGTGAGCAAGTTCATGTTCTGGTGGTATTAGACTACTACAGTGTAATGTATGTGGGGCTGCCTTTGGAAACTGCCCAGCTGCAGCGGCTAGGATACTAACTGGTCATTGCAAACACATCTCAGTTGTGCTTAAAAAGCTCCGGTAGCTACCATTCTGTTTCAGAGCACACTTCAGAGTGCTGGTGCTTAGCCCTATATGGCTTGGGATGTGGGTTCTAGAAGGAATCTCTTCCCTTGCATCAACCTGCCTGTGCTCTGAAATTGGTCGTGGTGACTAGGGTGAGGGTCCAATGTTGTGGCAGCCCTTATGGCATTTTCTCACCAGGGAGGCTTGCCTTACACTTAAGCTGGAAGGCTGCGTCCACAGTGTCCCTTTTGCTAGTTAAAGGGACTGAGATCCTGTGCTGTCTTTGATGCTGAACAGGATGGTCCTCCAGCAGCTCAGAAGAGATTTTTGTGTGTGGAGGTGGTGAGGGAAACAGGCTCTGCAGGGGGAAAGAGTAAAGGCAAAAATCATCTTGCCCCTTCCTCCATAGTGAATAGAACTCTGATGTGCCAAGTCTGACTCCAACCCAAAGTCTCTTAGGCACCAGCTGAACCTGCTATTTTCCTGGGCTTTTTAACATCTATTGCTGCATTGCAGGGGGTTGGTCTAGATGATCCTCAGAGTCCCTTTCAACTCTACAGTTCTATAATTCTGTAGATGTTCTGCTTGTTTTTATTGCTGCTCTTTATTCTGCTGTTCTTTGGTGCTTCATGATACTTCTGTGGTTTTTGTCTGCTTTCTGTCCCACCCTGGTAACTTTATAAAATGTTCATGCGTGGTATACAGGTTCATTAAATCAATGTTTGTCTCTTCAGGGACTTGGACAAAATTGACGACATGATGCAAGATATCACTGAACAGCAAGATATCGCTCAGGAAATCACAGAAGCTCTTACTAGAAAAGTTGGTGATGACTTTGATGAGGTTGGTAATGAAATTAAGGACATAAACTAGATGCAGACTAAATATCACTGCTTAATTTTATGCTCGATAAAATCTTGTCAGGCTGGTTGCCAAGCACTTAACACCTGTCTTTAAGTGCACTTCAGTTCTCAGTTGACTGAGGAGATAACAGTTTAAATGGTGGGAAATTGGACTCAGTACTTCCCTGAAGAAAATTTTCAGAACTATATGCGAGACATGTTAATGCATACACCCAGCGAAGTTTAATGGTCTTTGAATCATAGAATTGTAGTATTGGAAAGGGACCCTGAGAATCATCTAGTCCAATCCCCTGCAATGCAGGAATCTCAAATAAAGCAAAGCCTCTACTACAAAAAAAGGCTCTGTACGTGCGTATGGGTGTGGTGCTTTGATTTGTAATTGATTGTAGAGTCCTGAAGATAAGTCTATAGTCAAAAATAATACTAGTCCATTTCCCACATACAGTGGAACTTTGGTTCTTGAATGCTTTGGTACTCAAACATTTCTGCTCTCGAACACCGAAAACCCGGAAGTAAGTGTTCCGGTTTTCAAACGTTTTTTGAAAGCCAAATGTCTGATGCAATTGTCGGCTATTGTTTCCGGGGTGCCTGGACCAATCGGAAGCTGCGCTTTGGTTTTTGAATGTTTTGGAAGTCGAACAGACTTCCAGAATGGATTATGTTTGAGAACCAAGGTACCACTGTATATCAGCTGACATGTAGGGCCATAAATCATGCTTCCTGCTTGGATCAGTTGTATGAGCAGCCAGTCCAGTTGCATCTCCACCTGCCCCACACCTGCTATCACATATGACATCAGGTGTGCAGCAGGTGGACGAGATATGGAGACAGTGGCCCTGTGAACCAAATAATGATGGCTGGCAAACCAGATATGGCCCCTGGCGCAGAGTTTCCCCACCTCTGACCTATGCCAATCATGACATGACAACAACCCATTTTCCAGTTTAATAAAGCTTCCCTCCCTGATTGCCTGGAGCAGATACTTACTTGCTACTGGCAAGTAGGTGAGTGGCTGTTTACATGGCTGCCATTTTTAGTCTCTTGAGATGGTGGACCCTGTTTCTCAAAACATAACCTTCCATTTTTTTAAAAAAAACTTTCAGGATGAGCTGTTGGCAGAACTGGAAGAACTGGAGCAAGAAGAACTCAATAATAAAATGGCAAATGTTCGACTACCAAGTGTACCAGCTACGCCGCTGCCTTCCCATCCTGGTAAACTTTTTTATTTCTTATGTTAAGCTGTCTGCTAATGATATATGATATAGAATGATTCAGGTGAAATAAATTTTAGTATATATATCCTGAAACTGTCAAGATTTCTGATTGGATGGGTGGGAAGAATCGAGACAGAATACACTAAGTGAAGAACAGGGGTTTTTTTAGCACTAAGGTTCAAGACCCAAAGACCTGGGTCTTACCTGGCACTCTGTGAGTAGTTCTAGTGTGTACCTTCTATTGACATCCTCCATGATGATGATGAGTCTTGTATTTCAAGTGATATAATTAGAATTTGGATCAGGTGCATGATGGCTATGGCCAAGACTTCCCATTGAGTCATCATGTTTGCACCTTGTCTTTATATTCTAACAGTTCTTGCACATCTCTTTGTTACAGCATCTTCAAGGAAGAGGGTGGAGGATGAAGATGATATGCAGCAGCTTGCGGCATGGGCTTCTTAACAGCAATCTGCAGAGTTATGGGAAACGCCATGGAAGAAGTTTATGGAACAGTGTTTTGTTTTATACAGAGCATGGCTGTGTTTGATACAGTCCGGCATTGGTCCCTGGTGGGATTTTATGTCTGTATGTATGTGGTATATGTGTGTGTGTGTCTGTATTTTTAAGAGAGCCAGGATTACTTAAGACCTGTACTTGAAGTGTGCCGCCTTCTTCAGATGCAGCCTCATATGAATTTCTTTTTTCATACAGAAGAAATCTGATTTTTTTTTATATTGCCGGTGAAAATTGACTGGGGTAGTCTATTACTACTACACAGTATTATCCTTTGACTCTGAAAGCTCTGTGTATAGGTACAGGCATGCATGCTTATTACCTGAATTAATTGGTTCTGTTCCATAGAAACTTTCAAAACTGAGAGCTGATATATGCAGCTCTCCCAGGCTGTTGCTTTTCCTCTTTCGTACGTACTGACTTTTGCTTGTACAGGTTGCAAACCCTGTTTGCTGCAGAGGATGGTACGAACAGGCATGTTTCTAATACAGAGCAACATCCTCTGTAGAGTTTCAAACAAGTTTGGAGTCGCTGGAATACGTGGTCCATTTGGTCCCACTAGGTAGAGATGAAGGAGAAATTTGATTTCATTTGCATTTTAATGCACACCTCCCCAAACAACACACAAGCCGAAATGCACTTATCCTTCAATATCTGCACTTTTCTGAATTTTGCAATGCAGTTTTCCAACCAAAACGTGTAATAAATGTGTCTGTTAAGAGAGTTTGCATTAAAATGTGTTACATTAGGAGAAATTGCCTTCACAAATATGTGTAACAGAAGAACCTCACAAACCGATTTGGAAATATGATGAACCTATTTTAAAATCTAACAAACCAACAACTGGGAGACACCAAAATTGGCAGATTCATCTACCCCTAGAGTGTGTTGTGAAAATATTTATCTAAGTCCTGCCAGAGTTTTGTGCTGTTGGATTTCTTTGCTTTCTATGGGAGTTTTTTCCCATGTAGCTACTTGTTCACTCGGGGTCCTATATGGAAGAGTCAAAGGCTGATGTGGCACCTTAAAGACTAGCACACTATCTTTGTCAAGCATATATATAGAAAGACAACTTGGGTCTTGTATAGGCACATAACACATGAAGAGCTCTGCAGTCTAAAATGCTGGCTAGTTTGGCTTGCTATAAGTGGCTAAATTCCACCGAGTTTTCATGTGTTTGATTGCTAAAATGGAGTTAATTTTAGCCAACAAAGGTAGTTGAGTGGAGCATGTTTGATGGGGGGGGGGCAGGCAGGCTGATAAACCAGTTTATAATGGGTGTTTGGTTTTGTGACCAGCCAACTTAAAACTGATTTTATCAAACCATTTTAATATGGAGGTTGCAGTCCACTAAATCAAAGGGCTGACTTCATGCTGGAGAATAGTGGGCAGAGAATGGCCGAGAATCTTCTGTTCGCCTCTTCCCACTTAGCTTTCTTTTAACACTGAACCTTTCATATTGCCATGCCTATTATCAAATGGAGAATCTTAATAGGTTTTTAAGGTTGTGGCTTTTGAAATGTCCTCCTTACACTCATTCAGTTTCTTTTTTTCCTTTTTGCCTGAATGAAGCACATTACAGTGGAATAATTTATATAACTTGAAGTACCAAATTTCAAAGAGGGTCATTTTTTTTGACCCGGGAGAAACAGAGCTGGGTTTCAGATGATTGGATAATGAAGGTGCAAATAAATATATTGTCTGAAAATATTTGTGTTTGACTTGGCAATTGTTTTTCCTATCTTGCTGTAAAGCAGGGGTGGGAAACCTTTGGCCCCTTCAAATATTGTTTGAATAATAATATTAATATTAATAATAATAATTAATTAATTAATAATTAATAATAAAAAATAAGTGGTTTCCTCAGCCACTCTGGGCGGCTTCCAGCAAAATATTAAAATACAACAATTCATCAAATATTAAAAACTTCTCTAAACAGGGCTGCCTTCAGTTGTCTTCTAAAAGTCAGATAATTGTTTATTTCTTTGACATCTGATGGGAGGGTGCCACTGAGTCCCAACCAGCTTGGCCAATGGTAGCACAAATTATTTTTAAAGGATGTGATATTAATATGGCTTAATACTCCTATGCTTTGGTTCATCGTTATTGGGGATGAGTTACACATATTTTCTTCACCCTGATGACTGATGCTTAATGTCAGGGGCTCAGGAGCAGAGGCGCAGGGGAGAGAGGAAATGGAGAGCGAAGGGGAAGAATCTGAGGGCAGCGGAGGGCAGAATGACAGTGACCCGAGAGATTCCATGAGCCTCTCCAGTGAATCAGAAGATTCCCAGAAGGGGGCGCCGATGGCCAGGGCAAGGGGGGTCCCAGGGGGGACACACCAGAAGCAGGGGGCCAGCGGAGACTCCCAGAGCAGTAGCTGGAAATCAGGGCCAGCTTCCCCACCGGAGCGTAGTGGGGCGGAAGAGTCCCATAGGTCAGAGTCAGCCTCTCCTCCGGCAAGCAGCGACAGGAGCAGTATAACGGTCAGAAGGAAGGCAGGCTGGGCGCGCGCGCCAAGTTCAAATGTACAGGTGCGCGGGACAGCAGAAAGCCCGGATTGGGAACCAGGTCCTAAAGCCCGCCGGAGGGAGGGGGAAGACTCGGGGAAGTCGGCGTCAGAAGAGTCTAGAAAGGGGAAAACCCCGGCGGACAGGCGGACCCAGAGGAAAAGGGAGCAGAGAAAGAGGTGGAGCAAGGCTAGGGTCTTAAACTGGTGTCTGGGGGGAGGAGACTCAGACGGAGCTTCGGCGGTCTAGAGTTTAAGACGTAGAGCTGCGCGCCGTGGCTGTAAATCAGAAACTGGACTTGAATAAAGACTATTTGATATAACAACGGACTGGCGTTGGTCCTCTGTGAGCTGGGACCTGGGGCAGCTCTGACACTTAATCATGTAATACCCTGGAAAATGTGACACTCATGCCCAACATCAAGTAATAATTCTTACATGGATCAGGAGGTAGGTGGATCTCTGGATGACTTGCAACAGATTTGGCAAAGATTTCTGGTTTTAAGTTGTTCAATAATAGCAAATTTGACTGCTTAAGTGAAAGCAGCTTGGATAAGCATTGTGAGCCGAGGTCTATTCTGGTACAGTACTCAAAACAAATCCTGTGCTCAGCAGCAGCTCAGAGCCACTGTAAATTATTGTAAATATGCATTTTTAGTACCTGGCTCTAGGTGGTGGATGTCCAGGTTCAAATACAAGCAGATTGTGTAGTTCGAAAACCTGCTCCCTCTGCTGTAAATGATCCTTTGGCTGTGTGTGTGTGTGTGTGTGTGTGTGTGTGTATGTAGAGGGGAGGGGGCTGCATTCAGGAGAGCCTAAAAAAGCTTTTGTGTGTACAACTGTTTGAATCCTGACCAGCATCCACTATGACAAGTATATTTATATAGATTTTGGATATAGAAAGCATGAGCTGTTGAAAACCTTCGATAAAATGATTTTTAAAATTATTGCACGTTAAAATGCTATTGGTGCAAATTATTTTTCTGCAGTTTATATATAGAGTCATGGCACATTTTGGCATGTTCTCTCTCTGTCTCCAATTTCTTCTTTATTTTTATTTTTTTAAAAAAAAACAACAACCCCAAAACTAGCTAAAAGTTGCTTGGTAATGTTGTTTCTCCTGATAGGTGCAAAGCAAGCAAGCTGAGGCTGAAGTCTTATTAACTAGGAATTGCATCATAGTGGATCAGGTGTTGCTTTTCTTTAGGTAGAGTCAAAGTATACAGTCCTACTTCGGTGTAAACTCAGTGGGACTTTCTTCTAAGTATAGATGCATTAGATACATGCGGTCTACATAACTGCTGGACAGATCTTGTAAGATTGGTGGAAATCACACTCTAGAAATCCATCTTAAAGACAGAGCGTTTCTGCGTTGTGCTCCAAAGTGCAACTGAAGCTTTCAGAAGGAAAGCTGCCCTGCTCATTTTAATGAAATACTGGAATCTCTGCAAAATAATAATGCTGCTAAAGGTAAAGGACCCTCGACAGTTAAGTCCAGTTGGGAACGACTCTGGGGTTGTGGCGCTCATCTCGCTTTACTGGCCAAGGGAGCTGACATTTGTCCACAGACAGTTTTTCCGTGTCATGTGGCCAGCATGACTAAGCTGCTTCTCGCGCAACGGAACACCAAAAGCAGAGCCGTGCACAGAAACGCCGTTTACCTTCCCGCCAGAGCAGTACCTATTTATCTACTTGCACTTTGACGTGCTTTTGAACTGCTAGGTTGGCAGGAGCAGGGACCGAACAACGGGAGCTCACCCCGTCGTGGGGATTCGAACCACCGACCTTCCGATCAGCAAGCCCAAGGCTCAGTGGTTTACACCACAACACCACCCGCATCCCAATAATAATGCTAGATTGAAGCAATTGTTATAATTTCTAGAAACAACCACCTGCATCATGGTAACGGCCTTTGGACCAAGTTAATATGTTTGAGAGATGCATGTGAAAGGTCTTTTTTTAATAAAAAAAACAGGATGGGAGGTATTTTTGCTGGCCTGTAGGTGGCACTCTGAATTCAATAACAAATGTTAAACTTGCTTGACCACTTTTGCTTGAAGATCTGCTCATGCTAGGCTCCCTTACATGAGGAAATCGGCATAACCTCTTTTTGAGGATATGTAAATATTGCTTCATTTTATACACAGAAATGGATTGGTCCAGAGGGATAGCCTTTTTTTTATCTGCTGCAGAAATGCAAGAAGACATATAGTGCTGGATTTAGTTCAGGGAATGAAGGCTACATTTCCAGCCCTTATTTGTTAATTTCTATAGGCCACAGGTTATGAGAATAGCTTGTGTCAGACTAGTGCCAGTATATTAAGATACTTTGTCAAGACGGATGGACATGGCTCAGTTTTTATTATTACCCCTCTCTTCCTGCCACCACGCACACTTGCCCTTCCTTCATCCTTAAAACATGCCTGAGAGCCTAGTTAGGCTGACTGGTCCAATGCCCCCCATTGAGAAGAATGGCTTAGTGGGGATTTGAATTCGGGTCTTTTTAGTTCCCCAAACTACTATGCTGCATTGTTTTTGGTTCACTTTTATTCAAAAGTAATAAACTGCTTTTTATAAGTTAGGAAACAAGTGCCCCACCAAATGTATGGTAGAAACGATTCTCATCTTTACGTCACCCTCTCAGTCACAGATAAATGGCCAACCAACACACCCCAGGCAGCTGTGGTTTGTGGAAGACCTGAACATGTTCCAGTAGAGTCCAGCTCATACGGCTTGTCTCCTTATCTTTGCTTCCACGAGCTTCCCACTACAGCAGACAAAAGGCAAAACCATTCCAAAATAGTGTACAGTGGTACCTGTTAGTTTCTGTTTGTGCCACTGTGCAGTGCTTGGAGTCACAAGACTCTGTTTTGCATTCCAGAGATTCCAGGCTATTGGAAGTCTCACAGAAGACAGGAGATGGATGTGATGTTACTGGTTTTCTGTTCCTTTGTTGTTCAGCTGCTCTCTGCTTTCACAGAGAGATGTATATTTCTTTTCTGTCTGCGTAGTTAGAAATAAAACGCTCTTTGCAATGTAGCTCATACTATCTCGGCTCCTTCCCTGCATGCTGGATACTCTGCGTAATGGGGGAACGTGCTTGGAGCCTCATCAAAGGCTCAGGTTATTAATCACGTCGGAGGACTCGACTGGAAGAGTCGCCTGGTCGAACGCAAGTCCGACAGTACCTCAGGTTAAGAACTTAATTCGTTCTGGAGGTCTGTTCTTAACCTGAAGCACCACTTTAGCTAATGGGGCCTCTTGCTGCCGCCGCATGATTTCTGTTCTCATCCTGAAGCAAAGTTCTTAACCCGAGGTAATATTTCTGGGTTAGTGGAGTCTATAACCTGAAGCATATGTAACCTGAAGCGTATGTAACCTGAGGTACCACTGTATTTCTGTCGTTGGGGAATAATAGCTGGAGTGGGATAAGAAGCCTACCTAACAATTTTTTCAAGAAGTTAAGATGAGGGAGGGGACAAACCTTGAACTCTTTGAAGGAAATGCAGGGTAGACATAAATAAAACCATATGGCACCATGTCCTGCTTGTGAGCTTTGTACAGGCATTGAGTTCGCCACTGTGAAAGCAGCGTGCTGGATTAGACACACCTTTGGCCTACTTCAGCAGAGCTCTCTCCTCGTGTTCCTATTCATTACATGCTTGCTTCTACTTGGACTTGACTTCCAGGACACTTCCCAAAAGATTGGTGACCTCTGTCCCATGCTGAAGAATGCCAGCCATCTTTGCCCAGCAGCTCCTATACTGTTGGCAGTGAATAAACGTTAGATATTGTCTTTGAACAAACTAGCAGTTTTCCCCAAACTTGGCTGCAGCTAAAGGTTTAGCCGGTTTCTGCATTAACAGCAACAAAATCAGACACCACTGGAGATGTGGAAACAATGAGTCATGGAACACCTTGCCCAGGTTTTGCAATAAATGGCACTTATTTAAACGCCAAGTTCTAAATTATGTTTCATGCATGGAAGCATTTTCATTAAGAGTTACAACACAACTTACTGTGTTTTATCAGGCATTTGAAATGGCTAGATATTTCCCAGCACTTGCTAGCTGATCCTGATTTGTTGTTTACAGAAGGGACCTAGGCTGCAATCCTACAAACAGCATTCAGGCAGATGGGCTATAGAAAGAGGCATTAAGTGCCACCCAGCCAGTGAAATGGCATCGATGGACACAGGTGTTCTGCCAGTGGTGCTCCATCAGCTGTGGGGCTACAGTGGCCCATTCTTGGGGGGTGACCCACAGGCTCCTTAGCCTCATTTCTCCAACCCCAAGGACTGTTCTGTCCAAAAAATTAGTGGAAGTATTACTAATGGAGTGAGACTGGTAGAATGGACATGCCCTATCCTCCTTATATATATAAGATTTCAACCAATTATTTAGGGAAGTTTTGGGAACAACTGAATACAGTGATTATGATTTAAGATCAAGAAAAAGATAGGGAAGTTATAGAGAGTTGCAATGTCATAACCCACTAAATAAAACCAGAATTAGGAACTTTGGGGAACGGAATAGATTTGTATTTTTAGAGTAAAAAAAAATAACATGAGCCTGTCCTCCTAGTTCTAGTGGTTGAAACTTAATAATTTAAAACTTTAATATTTTATAATAGTGGATTTGTGTATAAGGAATATTTATTAATAATTCATTATGAAGCAAAGTGCATGTTAAAGCATGTATATAGAAATATTAGCTTCCTCCCTTTTAAACTAAGTTTTTCAATATGTATTTTCATCATGGAATTTATATTTAATTTTGAATAACATTAAAAAACCAGAATTCAATCAATTACTATTTTGGGCTTTAAATTGAAAAGCAGTCAGGAGTTGTAAACTGCACAATAAGCACATAAGCTACCGTTCTCCCCCAAATTGCATATAGATTAAAAAAAGAAAATGTTTCCAAACTTCCTTAACTCACTTTAATGAGTGCAGGGCTACTAGTGCTCACTTGTTCCAGACCAAGCGTGTCTTTTTAACACCATGAATGTTAAGCAGCAAGTATATTTCATTGCATCTGATAAAGTCTAATCTGTGCCACTAAAGCTTGTGCCATAATAAATGTGTTAAGTCTTCCAGGTACGACGCAACTCTTTGTTATAAATGGCATAAAACGGTATTGAATAAGCTATTCAAAAAACAAAAATAACAGAAGGAGATTTATACAGTAGCTACACTTTTAGATCCAATTCAGAGTTAGGAAATAGTTAAATGACCTGCTTATGGTCACACACAATCTGCAGATGTTTCTAGCCTTGAATGCCAGCCCTTAATTATCCTGAATAACAGTGCGCAAAGAAAGCTCTCTACTTAAAAAGCATTGACAATAGTATAAAAGCAGTATATAAAATAATATCCAACAAAGCAGCAGTGTTTTGATCAAAACATTTCCTGTCCATGGATGATTGTTCTGGAAAGCAAATAAAGGAACTATTTAATGCATGTTTGCCAAGGTTAACACACAACTGATTCCCTTGTTCTCTTGACTAGTTGATTCCTTTAGGGTTTTCCCCCCCCCTTTTCTTCTCCACAGCTTCTTCAAAGCAACCCCCGATTACCAGAAATTAAATTCCATTTCGTGTTCCTATTCAAGTCAATCTGAAATAGCACCACCAAAACACTTCCCACTAGGTTCAGTCATACACTGTTCCCACTTCATACTTTCCTCCCATCCATTTTCAAGGTCTGCATCTAGTTTTCAGTAGGAGGGGAGAAGCATCACAGGTCTTCCACAGTTTCTGGCAGGATCTTACACCCTGGTCAGAACTTGAAATACATGACTATTCTAGAGTGGGGGCTAGGAGACAGTTTACTGACATCTCTCTCTCTCTCTCTCTCTCTCTCTCTCTCTCTCTCTCTCTCTCATAAACATGGATTGCATTCAACTAACTTTTACTCAGAGCAGATTCGTTGAAATTAATGGCCGCAGCTAACTTAGGTCCCTTAATTTCTATGGGCCTCTGAGCAAACATTAGTTGAATACATCCCAATTCGTTGAAACTTTCTCCAAAGAGTCATTAGACTCCGATTCCCCTCCTATAGACCAATTCCCAGAGTGATTTAACCATCAAAGGCCTTTCTCTTGGAATCATAGCTCTGTGAGAGGAACGGAGGTATCTTAACAAATTAGCTCCCAGAATTATTTGGGGGAATTGACGATGACTGTTTAAAGGTGGTGTTGTAGAGCTTTAAATGCAAGTTGCGAATGTGACCACAGTCTGGCAGTGGTTCATCAGAATAGTTATTGAATTATATTTAATATTTTTTTGGAGTCAATTTAAACCTGTCAGCAAACCAAAAGCCCGGGGGCAGGGGGAGGAATAGTTTAGAATTGATCTGTTAATAAACTTGACTGCAGCTGTTAAAGAGGCCATCCAGAACTAAACTGGGTATGGAAGGATGCCAGCATTACACTGGTATGTTTTATATATGCTGTAAGGTAAAGGGGGAAAGGTAAAGGACCCCTGGACAGTTAAGTCCAGTCAAAGGTGACTATGGGGTTGTAGCGCTCATCTCACTTTTCAGGCCGATGGAGCTGGCGTTTGTCCACAGACAGCTTTCCGGGTCATGTGGCCAACATGACTAAAATGCTTCTGGCACAACAGAACACCGTGATGGAAACCAGAGTGCATGGAAACGCTGTTTACCTTCCCACCATAGCTATATATGTTGGAAGCTGCCCAGAGTGGCTGGGGAAACCCAGCCAGATGGGCAGGGCATGAATAAAATTATTATTATTATAAAGCTGAGAGAAATTCTCATACAAAGCTTTTCTAAACAGATGCATAAAACAAAAACTGTTGTTATTTTTTTAAGCTCCAGTGACTGAGAATTATGCAAAATTTCAAACACAATGAGGTATTCCAGTACAAATCATATTTTGAGTATACGTAGTTTAGTCCAAAGAAACTTACCTTCATATTTAATTAGTGAAGGATTTAACCATAAATTATTACAGTGAAATCGAGGCATGTACCTAATAAGGGACGCTTGAATAATCACATTTAATCTGAAGTATGTGCAACAATTAATGATTTCATACCTACTAAGTAATGCAAATCCACACCCAAGCTAGTAGGCAGGCTGCTTTTCCAGTTGTTTCAACTTCTCCCCCCACACCTCCATTTTACAAGCACTAGACTCCTAGTAGTCATGATCCATTGTTAGTACAATATTAGGTCCCATGTAAATGGGCAGGAACAGCGATAGTGCAAAGGTGATGAGACAAAGGCCCTGTGGTGGGGTTTGAAGAAAGACTTCTCACATTAAGAAGGTAGCCCACAATGCATGGGGTTTTTTTAAGACGCACAGAGCAACCAGAGTGAGGCAAGATCTGGTTATCTCTCACTTGGACTACTGCAATGCACTCTATGTGGGGCTACCTTTGAAGGTGACCCGGAAACTACAACTAATCCAGAATGCGGCAGCTAGACTGGTGACTGGGAGCGGCCGCCGAGACCATATAACACTGGTCTTGAAAGACCTACACTGGCTCCCAGTATGTTTCTGAGCACAATTCAAAGTGTTGGTGCCGTTTAAAGCCCTAAACGGCCTCGGTCCAGTATACCTGAAGGAACGTCTCCACCCCCATCATTCTGCCCGGACACTGAGGTCCAATGCCAAGGGCCTTCTGGAGGTTCCCTCGCTGCGAGAAGCCAAGTTACAGGGAACCAGACAGAGGGCCTTCTCGGTAGTGGCACCCGCCCTGTGGAACACCCTCCCACCAGATGTCAAAGAGAATAACAACTACCAGACTTTTAGAAGACATCTGAAAGACATCCCCTGTTTAGGGGAGCTTTTTAATGTTTAATAGATTACTGTATTTTAATATTCTGTTGGAAGCCACCCAGAGTGGCTGGGGAAACCTAGCCAGATGGGCGGGGTATAAATAATAAATTATTATTATTATATAAGAGCATAAGAAGTGCCTGCTGGATCAGGCCAACGGTCCAGCATCCTGCTCTCACAGTGGTGAACCAGATGCCTATGGGAAGCATGCAAACACCCCTCTGCCCATCTGCAACTCCCAGAAACTGGCACCCAGGGAGCTACTGCCTCTGTCAATGAAGATGGAACAAGGCACCCATGACTAGTAAGAGTGTTTGTACACAGTTCAAGGGAGAAGTAGCAGAGTGACCTCCAGAATGGTGCTAATATACAAAAACCTCCTGCAATAAAAGGCAGAGAAAATGCATTCCAAGCCAACATTAAAATTTCACGCACTGTGACAAAACATGGAATGTAGATTTTAAAAAGCTAAGGAGCAAGTTAGCCAAGCTCCAGACTCTTTTAAACCCAGCATTATTTTGCAACAGACGACCCAAAAAAAAGATGTTGTGATGTCCAAAGGTTTATTTGCCCCAGATGGTTTTATACAGTCCTGCAGAGATCTTTGTCCTCACACCCTAAAACACAAAGCGACCGTTGAAAATTCCGGCACACGAGACTGTGTGTTAACAGCATTAAACAAAGAAGTAGGTGGCACAGAGAACAAAAGAAGCATTCTTCCTACTGAAAGAGCAGACAAAACAAGGCACTTCCAGCAAATAACTGCTGAGCAGAATGTTTCTGAAGATTCCATAAAGCTGACACACTATTATAACATCTGTAACAAGCAAAATACAAAAAGGCACTACTGTACAAACCAATTGCACCTTCCCTCAGTCCAAAGGTCGAACAAAAAGCACAAAAAACACAGAGCCAATGAACTTGGCACAATATTTTCTTTGTTATAAAGTGCATTATAAGGTTCAACACAAATTTTAAAACGAGAGTGAAGCTTATAGTGTGTTCCTGGGTGTACAATATTTTATAAACACACACAAACATAAACTGCAATTAGATTTAGTTATTTAACTGTGCAGAAGTATGGCTTTAATGACTCAAATATCTGTTTATAATATGCATACTTTAAACAGAGCAATTATGCATTAGCAACAAAAGAAAGAGGTAGTGTTCTTTATATAAGGCAAATTTGTTGATTCGGTGATTATGTGGCAAAAGTGTAAGATTTAAAGAAAAACAGTTAAAAGACAGCTTTTATATTGTTTTCAAGTGCAGGTGAATGCCCACAGTGTGATATTTCTTTCTGCATTATGAAAACAAATAACATTCCCATTACTGAAAGGTTTAATTTTGGTACTGCAAGCTTTCCTATATCAGTGCATTATAATTTACATATCACTTATTTACATTTATGACTTTAAAAACCACAAGAAATCATATACATTTTCCAAGTCCAGATGTCAGATTTATATTTCCCAGAGCAGAAGTTACATGCCTATATAAAGAATCTGAAAATCCAAATACCAAAAAGCTGTCCATACAAAATATTAATAGCAAGCATGTGATATACAACATGCTACATGATTGGTATATCTACATGTGTGGCATTTATCCTTTATATATGGGTACATATAACTTATATACATCACTTAGGATTCCAACTTGACCTGCCTTTAACCAGAGCTTTTTTATATATTAATATATATCTCTCATAAGGCTGATAAAGGCTGAGACAAAGCAGCACTTATATCCTTCCTATGCTATAGGTTTCTCTAGATTGGTTTATGTAAACATTCAAGCTTCTGCCATCTCAACTCTTGCTTTACAGCTACTATATACTTCTGTTCAATGCAATCCAGACATTGACTTTTTTACACTACTGTAAAGGCAGCTGGTAGCATTTACATCTCTTCATCGGTGGTATACGCTACCTCAGCAACTTCAATTTCTGGCACGTGATTTTCTGCCAATGAACCGCTCCAAGATGTTGCCCGATTCTCTTTCTCAGAACTGTAGAGACAGATCAATATGTTTGACACACTTTTTTGGGGGGGGGATCATTTCATATCTATCTCACGATTCTGATCAGCACAGTTGGAAAACTAATCTCTTTTACTAAGAGTTTATAGAGGTAGACCCTTGCCCTGCAAAATCTGCTAAGCCAGGTTGCTAGTTTTGTGTTTTATGCCATTCCCCCCCCCCCACTGTTTACATTATAAGTCATGGATACCTAGACCTCTGGGTTAAGGTGGATCACAGATGCATGCCTATCAGATCATTTCATGTTCAACCAGCATTATCCACGTGCAGCTTCTTCAGCATACCTCCTACTGAAGAGGTGCAGCCCTCAACTATTATCCTTTTAACCTCAGTTTGGGGCAAGGACTTTTTGAAGGGGAGAAAAGAGCAGGAAACCACAAGTAACATAAATATATTTAATATTTCCGGAGTATGAATTGCATTTGGAATGTGAATGGCACTTCTACAACAACGTAGCGCAGGAGACTATAGAAGTGAAAGGCTTTTCAGAAAATAACCTTAGATAAAACATTGAAAATTTTAGATTGTACCTGTTGTCTTCTTCCAGGGCTCCTTGATCTGCCTCTATTGCAGAGGATTCCACTTCTCCACTGCACTCACTCTCTTGTCCTGACAACTTACGAGACTTCACTTTTCCTAAATTTAAATCCCTGTGTAACGAATTCAAGATACAGCTTATTGGATCCAGAATATCACTTTCACAAACGTAAGGAGACTTTCTATTTATAGAAAGAAGAGAATACACAATTCCCCCCCCCCCAGTGTTTTCTAGGAGGATAAGAGGAAAAGGAGGAATTGGTGAAAATTGCCCCCTCTGCTTCTTCAAATGTAATTGTAGCTCCTGCTAAACATTAGTTTAGATCCAATCCAATATAGTTAAGCTAGGAAATAATGAAAAAGCACCTAAGCAGAACTTCTTTTAGAAGACTTTTCTACACATAATTATATTTTCATTCCTTTATTAGGTTTAAGACATAATATTGAAATGACACTGATACTAATTAGCAAAGAACTTTCATTACAAATTGTATCTATTTTGTATTGATGCTTCAGCATACTGTTTATCCATTATGCACTGAAAATCTAATTATATTAGATGTTGGAAAAGTAAGTATTTTAGATACTAGACTACTAAATAGGATGCTCATCTACAAAATATTTTGGAAAGTACAGTATTTTGTTTGCTATGCATTTGGACAGCTCTTAAGGTTTCATAATCAGATTGCATAGTGGTTCTTGAGATGAAGAGCAGTTTTTTCTCTCTGTTTGGGTATGATTGGACGGTCCTTTGAATCAAGATGGCGAACCTTTCAAAACTGCACTGGACCTTTCAAAATGGCACCAATTTTAACTCTGCCTTCATTCCCACCCTCCTTAGAATTCCCGGGCAATGTCAGGTACAAGGCTGCTAGTAAGCAATAACTATAAAGTTAGCAGTATCATTTATTTCACCAGATTTCAGGTTCATACTTACAGTAAAATATAAGTCCTCATCCTCATGATACTTTACTAAGGATTTCTTCTTTGTGAGATTGCTACTTAAAACTGCTCTCCCTACTATCATTCCTATCCAAAGAAATGTGTAGTTAAACTGACTTGCTATATGTGGCCTGCACCAACCTCAATTGTGTCAGAAAGGCTCACATACGTATTAAAGTGTTTTACTTCACACAAGACTTTTTATTTCCTTTTTAAACGGAAGTTTAAAATTACGCAAGAGTTACTCTGGGGGTTATCTCCTGTCTTTCATGAGAGAATTGAGGGTAAAATAAATAAATAAATAAATAAATAAATAAATAAATAAATAAATAAATAAATAAATAAATAAATAAATTTTATTTATACCTCGCCCTCAGGGTGGCTAACACCAGTAAAATTACAATAAAAACATAATGGGGGGGGGAGAGACCAATTTTAAAAAATTGGTTAAAATACAATTTAAAATGCAGCCTCATTTAAATAGTAGCCCATAGATAAAAACCATAAGGGGAGGGAAGCATAAGGGTCAGACTGAGTCCAAACCAAAGGCCAGGTGGAACAGCTCTGTCTTGCAGGCCCTGCGGAAAGATGTCAGGTCCCGCAGGGCCCTAGTCTTTTGTGACAGAGCGTTCCACCAAGTCGGGGCCAGTACTGAAAAGGCCCTGGGCCCTAGTTGAGACCAATCTAACCATCTTGCGACTTAGGACCTCCAAAGTGTTGTCATTTGTGGACCTTAAGTTCCTCCTGGGGCATACCAGGAGAGGCAGTCCCGTAGGTACGTGGGTCCTAGGCTGCATAGGGTTTAAAGGTCAAAACCAGCACCTTAAACCTGACCCTGTACTCCACTGGGAGCCAGTGCAGTATGGTTGCAACAAAAGAAGTTTTCAGAAATGCATGAATAAGTGCTCAATGTTTTGGGATTAATTTTTAAATTGCAGTCTAGTTTCAAGAATTTTCTGTCCACTTACCCCAATTGTTTCTCTATGGCATCTATGTACACTTCTTTTTCATTTAGCATTTTTTTCAGAGCTTCCACCTCTTTTTGCTTTTCAGCAAGTTCCTTTTGCAGACGGTAGTTTGTTTCTTCTAGGGTCTCGCAGAAAGCCTAGAAGAAAAATTAAATGATTTTTTTGAAGGCAATAGTTTTGTGTGCGAAATGCAAAGACTTGAGACTGGTGTGGTTCCCCTACTGCAATAGTTTTAATTTTTAATATGCATGAAATCATGCAACCTCAATTTAATTTCATTGCACTGTACATTTTTATGTAGCAGTAATGAGGTCAAACTGTATCAAGCTGTCATTTTTTATGCAAGCAAAAAACAAAACACAAACTAACCTCATGGTATACAACAAGACAATGGCTCACAAAGGGACCGTCCTAACCCACATTTCAAAATATTTTCAGAATGACAAGCTGTGACCTACACATGCAGCTGAGAATATCTGCATGACCAGCCACCACAGCTCTGCAGACATGCATCCTGTAGCAACTTTACTATTCATTGCACTGACACATTAAAACAGAACTAGGAAAATGTAAGGGAACTACTATGCCATTACAGAAAAAGCATTGCATCTATTGCAGAATCTTATAGTAACAGCATAATCACGATGAAACACAAAATAACACATATTGGTTTGAATGTGGCTACTGAGAAAGTCCACCCAAAGTTGACATTTTCTGCTAAAGCTAGATAAAACAGCATAGGTGAAGCTCACTGTAATTACTTGAGACTACATCTTGGCACACATGATGCTGTCTTGTTGCCACGCCACTTAATTCTACAAATCCCCTCATGGGGCTCAGAAGGTCAACTTGAGATTTTCCCCCAAGTCCCTTGTGACATAAATAAACATTGCAACTACTGTGGAGCCCCCTCCCCCTCAAGTACGTTATCTGATGTTAAAAGATTTTATTGCAGAACTTAAGATCCCAAGACTGAACTGCAGCAAAGAGATCAGTACGGTTGCAGTAACAACATCCACTCCTAAATACACTTACTTGGAAGTAAATTCCATTGATTGTAATGGGATTTATGTCTCAGTAAGTATGTTTAGGATTAAGCCCAATTGGGTTTTTGAGGTAGGAGCTTTTGTAGACGTGAGTCCAATGAAAGAGGAAGTTGTCTTCAAAAGCTCATGAGCCACTAGACTAGTTCATCTCCAAGGTGCCACACAGACCCAATGATACCTTGCCAAGTTTCTAAGGTTAATAGTTACGGTACCTGAAAAGCAAACATCCTGCAAAATTGTTAATTGATATTTTGTAGAACCCTGACTGATGTCACAAGGAGTCATTCAAAGTTACTTCCCTTTCTTTAAATGGAACCACTTCTCCAATCTCTAAAAGTGTGTGTGTTTAAAACAGTGTAAAGGAAAAATTAAACCAATATACACGCTGCATTTTAAAATTTTTGGGGTGAAATGCTAATAGCTTGCTAGAGGAAATAATATTTGATTCAGTGCTTGGGTACATTGCACATGCTATTGAGACTGTCTCTATAAGCAGTGGATATATTTTTCTTCTTGACTTCCTCTATATTTTTGATAGATACAAGATGTTCTGTAGCTGTGAGCTCTCCTTTACCAACAAAACCATTTGATGCAGAAAATCACAAAGCATGGACTGAGGGCTTACAATTCTTTCTCTTTAAGAGAAAGCCTGCAATTAACGTTAAGAAGTTTGCATTTCATAATTTGTCGCTAACTTCACTAGCAAAACAGCCTATTATGTAATTTGGCAGTGATCCTCATTTGTTTGTGTAGCACATTCAGTTAACCAGGCATCCACCAGGGGCTGGTACAGATATAATGCTGCCAATCCCTTAAACTATGGGACAGTTCTGAAGGGACCAGCCATTTACTAGAGCCAAAATTAACAGGAATTAAAATACATCAATGGCATTATACTTTGACTGAAACCAAGTTAAAATAGTTAAAGTTGTCCTCTAAAAAGCCAAATTCAAAAGACACACACACACAGCATCTGAATATATTTTGGAATGCTAACAACATTCCAAATGTCTTAACTTAAAAGTAATTTTACCAAGTATTTGAACTGACATATTAACATAATGTGTTAAGCTGGTTCATATCTGCTAGATGTGAGCCAAAAAAGTCTCTTTCTTTGTTCTTCTGCATGCATTCAGCAAATGGTATTATTCTAAATCAGAAAGACTTTTGGATGGGTTCTGCAATATCTGAAAAATCAGATGCCCAAGGAAAACAAATAAAAAGAATGACATACAATCCGAATAAAATATCCTATTTCAGGTAGGAGGAAATAGCAGTGAGACTGAGCAGTGTGACTGATAAATCATGAAGATACACATATTAAAAATATGTGAGAAAATACTTTATGCTAAATATAATTAAACCAGTGAAGGAAAACCCTAAAGTATGATACATGCACAACTGATAAAGCAAAAGGATCAGATCGCAGGGGTAGATTTAAAACAATGCATCAAATATGAGTCATCAATAATTATATACCAGGCAGAAGAATAAAACAATATCCAACAGTCGGAGATTGAGAAAAACTGCAGGAAGAATATAGACAAAAGAAACTCTGAAATTATTTCCTACAACTTCTGCATTCTTTAGGGACGTAGGTGGTGCGGTGGGTTAAACCACAGAGCCTAGGGCTTGCCAATCAGAAGGTCGGCAGTTCGAATCCCCACGACAGGGTGAGCTCCTGTTGCTCGGTCCCAGCTCCTGCCCACCTAGCAGTTCGAAAGCACGTCAAAGTGCAAGTAGATAAATAGGTACCGCTCCAGCGGGAAGGTAAATGGCGTTTCCGTGCACTGCTCTGGATCGCCAGAAGCGGCTTAGTCATGCTGGCCACATGGCCCGGAAGTTCCCTCAACCAATAAAGCGAGATGAGCGCCAGAACCCCAGAGTGGACCACGACTGGACCTAATGGTCAGGGGTCCCTTTACCTTTACCTTGCCTGCATTCTTTTCCCACCCTCATCTCCTCAGGCTTTCGTGATCTCTGCTCCATAGCTGAGATTTCTGCCTTTGGGCTGCTTGTTGTGTAAACGTACAGTCCATAGATTATTCATTCCATGCCTTTTTCTGTGTGGCAGACATACATATTTTATATCCGTTTCAAAGAGAACAGATGCTTCTCTTCTTATAAAGGTACCACATGACAAACATCATATGCAACAGGCCAGTTAAGAGTGTTTTATTCTAACAACAAAATAACTACTTTACACTTACCCTACTCTCTTCAAGGCTATCAAATGGTCCTGGTGGATCATCCAAACAAAGGAACTCCCTCACTGCAAGACTTTGAAATAATGAAAAGAAAGAAAGAAGTTGGTTCTCCAAACAGAACAGCCTGAAGTCAGTGAGAAACAACACAAAACACAATATTTCTCCGAAAATGAGCAAGTTTGTTTTTATTATAACAACCGTGTAATGTTTCAGTTAGCAGATATAAATAAATGTTTTCCATACCATTTTCACCCTCCCCAGCAATGGATGCTTGCCTAGTATCAAATGAAATTGTTTTAAACGGAAGACATTCAGGGTAAGGATTTTTTAAAAAGTTTAATTTATCCTGGATTTTAAAATCCGATTAACTCCCCAGTAAAAAGTAAATAAATAAATAAATCTGAATTAAAATACAGAATGACAACAGCCAGGAGTAAGGGAACCGCTAACTAATCCCATGTCCCAGTGGAGGCTTAGAATTTGCATTTCCCAAATAGCAGATTTCTCTATACTGTACTACATAAGCAAATTGCTTTTGAAACATGAAAACCTTGCTTTTCAAAACAAATGTAAGAAAATAATAGTTGCTTTATGCATACCAAACAGGATCTCTCCCACACTCAAACTGAAGATTAATAAAGATTGTCAATAAGCCTTCACCCAGGATTATCGCCTTATCTGTACACTAGACATAACTGTCTGCCTACTTGTTTGGGGTCAATAAAGACTGTTCAAAGGGGAGACGATAGAGAGGCTTGTATTAACTGAGCAAGAATGACTTGCACTGCTGTATTCTGGAAGATGGCTTTGATTTTTTCTCAAGCCATGTGTAGCCCATGTAACTACTCCTAAACTGTCTCTCTCTTTTCCAGCGTACTTTTGAATAGCAGAAGTTTGTTTGTTAATTAAATTTGTACACTGCCCTTCATTTGAGGATCACAGGGCGGTTCACAACATCAAAATACAAAATGAGAACACAAAACATATAACAACACAAAGACAAACCAAGTTGTATGTGTCAATTGTGTGGAAGCATCTCTTTTGAGAAGATTAAACTAAGGCTTCAACCAAACATGCAAACCAGTGTGCCTGCTGCTTTAAATACCATAAATATGGAGAACACTTCACATTGCAAATCATTTTTATGAAGGAATTCCTCTCACAGATTTGCCAGTTTACATATGCAAAGTTTGTTTGTTTGTTTTGAAGAAATTAACAACGAAAGACATTGAACTGCTGGAAATTCTGGAGCAGCAGTCCACACTAAAGCAGCTTGATATTATAAAACATGAGGAAAGCTTGCGGAAAACTGTTCTAACATCACATCTGTAGAATTTCCAGGTTTGTCAGTGAGCTTGTAAGCGAGTGAGAATGTGTCGTTTCCCTCATAACATTTATTCAGTCAAATGAACTGTCTAGAAAAAACAGGAACAATGCTTCTTTGCTTCATTTGACAGTTATATCACACTCTTTTCCAAACAGTTTTATTTACGGTAGAGCTTCTCTTCATGGTTGAACTGCTGTTTTGAAAAGATGTGGAATGAGATCGCAAATGGCCATCCTCAGAACAGCTTATTATATGAAAGCATTGTTGCCTTCTCCAAGCTTGATTTCACTTGTTCTGTTCCTCTTTTAGACCCCGTTATTGAGTTTAAGGACAATTTTGGCAATATTAAGCTACAAAATGCGAAAAATACTACAAAATGTGTATCTTGTGACTAATGGTATAAAGCTTTTATGTGGAAGAATGATGATAAAAAATTATAACCACTGAATCCAAGCACTTAATAAGATAAATATCAGTTGGTTTTGGGTAGCCTTGGATAGCCTTTTTTTGCTATGATGCCTTTGGCAGCTCTAATAGACAAGTACTATATGTGGCTGTCGTTAAGAAACAAAGTTCTTTGTGCACTAGTGGAAAACGGGGGGGGGGGGGATTCAAGTGTAGGGTTTTGTTAAGTATATTCTCAACTGAGGTTGTAATAAGCTAAAAATATACATTGATCTGTGGCCAGAGGCAGTACACCTTTCTGAATACCAGATGTTGGAGACAAAATGCAGTACAAAACAGAAGAGTGCTGCCTTCGTGCCATACTTGAGAGTTTATTAGAACCAGTTGATTGGCAGCTGTTGGAAACAGAATGCTGGTTATCTGTTAGATGCAGGCGGAGCAAGTCATTTCTTATGCTCCTATGTGATATTTATATGATGAGGATTGTGATGCAAAAGTTCATTCAAATGCATTTAGAACTTTAATGGAAGCAACAGCAATATTGGTTTTCCTCTCCTCTTTCCAAACCATAATGCGGTGCATGTGGGGAAGGGAATTCCATCTTTAACTTACAGTTTTTGATTGAGCAAAGCTGTTTACATAGACTCAACTAAGCATTACTATTTTAGCTCTATTGCACTAAGATGGGAAATACTGATAGAAGCAGAAAGTATGCTTCTTCTACAGAAAGCTGCAACTAGAGCAGCAGAAAAAGCACACGCACACTTGCCTTTTATGAACAGCAGAGCACTGAATCCCATTCTTAGATTCTCCTCCAGGATAGGGTGGAGCCACAAGTGACTCCGGCCCAGCCTGTCAGAAGAATAAGTAATCCAAGCATCTGTTTTACAGGTTTAACACCTTTCTCCAGTTTCCACAATATGCAGAAAGAAATACTCATGAGCAAATAAAAGGGAAAACTCTCTTGAGCAAGTCTATTAATGTCTCCAATAAACAGCTTGCACAATGTGTATTTCTGATATTCATTGTGAACTTATATCCCTATTAAAATCATTCCAATGGGGATGTTACTTTAGGATGCACAGTTTTACTGTACTCTTATTCATGGCGTTATATAGTGAAGAATCCCACTAACAAAATCCTGTTTAATATTGGGGCAAGAGAACTGGTTCACAGAGTCTTGAACGAATGTTGCTGCTTTGCACACCATTAATGAGAACATTTATTCTGGCATAAGAAGCTCAAGACATTTTGAAAGAATTTGGAAAACTCTACATACTAGTCTATTAGCACTGCAATGTGGAAGTTAGAAGTGACAGAAAAAGATGAGTTTATTTGTTGCGTCTCAGAACGTTTTAGGTTGCATTTTTTAAAATAAAATCACACACAAACATAATTGCATCAACACTATGCAGTACAAGCTCTTAGCTGAACACTGGGTCTACAACCTATTGTGGAGGAGTTCTGTATGGTTGTTGCTGTCACAGCTGCAGCACAGAAGGCTATAATTTCTGTGAGAGACTCCCAACATGCTATCAGATAGCACAAACCTCTAAAGGACAAAAGTTCAAGAAGTTCATATATAACAGAGTTGATAGGAACTGAAAGTACCTGCTAAGAGGCACTTCTGTCACTACTTTTCAGCTGTTATATTGAAGCAGAAGTGGCTAACCTGTGCTCTTAAGATTATGCCCACGCCCTATCACCACTAACCATTGGCAACAACTGGAGAACAACTGCTTAGCCACTCCTGTACTGAAATAGTGGCAAAGACAAATCCCTCCCCCAATTTCGGATCCATTGAGAAATTGTCACGACTTGCAGTCTAGCCCACTCACCCAACCATTCAGGATTGTACTATAATTACTCATCCATAACCAGCCACCATTAACACAAACACACTGAAATGGAACATTTCAGCTTCAAGGTTGGCATTTAGAATTCAATGTACTGCCAAATAGCACGCTGCTCATAACATACGTGGTTCAAGATTGCATAAAACTAGAGATTCTATAATTAAAAACAACAACACATGGTTTCGATTGCAATGCCAAGCTCTAAAGCATTCATAAAAGATTATCTTCAAAATCACCCATCTTAGAAAGCATATAACAAATACAGGCAGATTCAAAGGCATTCCATTCAAATCTGCATTTTAGAGGGTTTTTAAAAAAATCTTCTTCTTAAATGTATTTTTAGAAACTGAAAAATATAATTAACGGATAATCCCCATATTGTAACTCCACATGCTGAATACACAATGCCAAACAGCCAATAGCAGATTTTTTTGTATATTTAAAGACTTTAACAACCACCTTCCAAATACATTGCTCTCACAGTGTGATGTATAAGGTTAATAAATAGAACATAATACTACATAAAACTAGAAAATTTAGACACAGTTAAAGTACGCATCAACAATTAAAGCACAGCAGACTAATCAAAAGTGAAATGAAATAAAAGCATCTCAAAAGTTATCTTAAGAGTTATGTACTTCTTGGGTGAGGCAATTCCACAAATGTGGAGCCGCTACTCATAAGGCCTTGTCTCTGATATCTGTCCATCTTATTGATCGACCAGAGACCTGGGTCTCAGAATTTGGTCTCAAATCTTGAGCTGTCTTATACAGGTGCAGGCAGTCCTTTAAATAACTTTGATTCACACCATTTAGGGCATGGGTAGGCAAACTAAGGCCCAGGGGCTGGATCCGGCCCAATCACCTTCTAAATCAGGCCCGGGATGGTCCGGGAATCATTGTGTTTTTACCTGAGTAAAATGTGTCCTTTTATTTAAAATGCATCTCTGGGTCATTTGTGGGGCCTGCCTGGTGTTTTTACATGAGTAGAATGTGTGCTTTTATTTAAAATGCATCGCTGGGTTATTTGTGGGGCATAGGAACTCGTTCATTTTTTTTTCTTTTCAAAATATAGTCCGGCACCCCCACAAGGTCTGAGGGACAGTGGACCGACCCCCTGCTGAAAAAGTTTGCTGACCCCAGATTTAGGGTATCTTATCATCTACACAAATACATTCCTTACTTCCTTTGGCCCTTTCTCTGCATCCCAATTGTGGCAAATCCTGTAATTTAGACAGATTGCTACCCTGCTAGTGGCTAGAATGTAGAAGTCTGAAATATTTTTAAAGACCTCTCAAAAGACCTTTAGCAATTTCCAGTCTTAAACACATTTGCCCTTTTGTAACCTAAAATAACGCAAGTTCCTACACTTTTACTAATTTTCAGTTTCAACAGCTTATATATTGCTTAACTCTGTTGTCTCAGCAGTGCTGAGTAACAGTAAAGTTAAGTTAAAACTAATAACAAAACTTACTTAAAATGCCTAGTGACGTAAAAAGGCCTCCTCTTTTTCAAAGAAGTTCAAAAGGAGAAAGGCCTATTTCATCTCACCTGGAAGGAAGTTCTACAAAATTGGGCCCACAATGCTGAAAATGTGGCTGTGCTTTTGAGCCATCGATGACAACTAACAGCTACTCCTGCAAGGGCTTCAGGGATTAGGCATGGATATATGGAATTAGGTGGTCATTAAGATTTCCTGGACCACCGTTGTTAAAGTCCTTGTGAATTGATACAAGAATCCTGAACCTGGCCCAGCAGCATATGTGCTGGTGTTAGTCTGGGGGAGGGTTTCTTTATTCACAGAAAGCAATTTAATTATTCATTAGTCTAATTCTGGAAAAGCAGGAGTACAATTTAGAATATAGTCATACCTCAGGTTACAGCCGCTTCAGGTTGCGTTTTTTCAGGTTGCGGACTGCCGAAACCTGGAAGTACCGGAATGGGTTACTTCCGGGTTTCGGTGGTCACGCATGCGCAGAAGCGCTAAATCACGCTTTGCGCATGCACAGAAGCGCCAAATTGCAACCCGTGCGTGCGCAGACACGCGTTGCAAACGCTGCGCATTGTGAACATGCATCCCTGTTATGATAATCCAAGTGATAGAAGAAGGTGAGAATCACATACCAGTTAGCAATGTCTTTGTGAGCTACTAAATTCTGTAAGAATGCTTGGAGTCCCAGCTGTCTATCTTCCAGAAAATCAGGATTGTAATTATCCTTGAACCAGCGCTTTGGTGGTAGTGCCAATCGGAAACCAGGAAACATATCTTTGAGCTAAAAAAGCAAACCAAGTAGATAGTAAGGAATTACACTTTCTGCATAGAGTTAATATATCACTAAGGTGTTTGCTTTTTCCTTTGTTTTTTATCTATTTCTCTCCCTTTGCCTTAGATTAATGTGCAATGGGTTCTTTTGCTGAGATTTTCTCAGCAAAGGGAGGCAGGTCAAGCAGGTTTGAAGAGTAGCAACAACGTATCAAATGCAATACCAGTACCCCAATACCTGGAAACAACCACTATCTATTAATTCACGTACAGTGAAAATTTGGTGCTGTTTCAAAAAAGCAAAAAATTGTGAAAATTTGAGCCATGCCACTGTACTATTCCTCTGTCTTCTGTGGTACAAACAAATGGCTAGTCAAGAAACACATTATGGGAATGCATCTTGTTAGGAGGAGGTTTACAACAAAAGGCAGAGATATATGAATCTTAGCAAATTAGCCTTCTCTTGATTAAGCAAGGGGTAGCATTCAACATTAATGAACATGGAAGTTAGTCCTGTTCATTTTTAATGGGTGTACTCTGAGTAAAACTTAGTTGAGTGCCACCTAAGATTTTGCAGACCAAACCGGGGCGGGGAAGGAAGGTAACCAGAAAAAGTTAAAGGGCTTGCAGGTATTATTTTCAGGTGTCAAATATGCAAATCACCCTGTGATCTTCAGATCAAGTGTGGTATAACAATTCAATAAAAAAATGTAAATAAATATGGCTCTGGAATGGCTTTCCAAATACCATTTAAAAGTAAGTGCTTCTCAGTGAACTTACTAGTTCTATGGCAAAGCAATTGCTTGTTTTTCTCATTCTAACTCTTCAAAGTTGGAAGCAAAAATGTTAATCTGGTACATTAATAGCTGGAGATCAAGAATTATATACCTTGTCATTAAGCCTGGAGAAGTCTGTATACCTTCTAAAAACTACCCAGTTTTCCTCTGGATTTTTCTTTACAAGGATTTTGTAAACCTGTTAAATAAAAAAAAAACTATTATAGCAGTTTCAATAAGTTGTGTGAGCATTTTAGTCATATTACACAATAATTACTAGGAAGCTGACATAACTATTCTTTCAGAAAGGAAGCAAGCGTTATCAAAGTTTGCCTATGTATATATACTAAAGTATAAAAAATGAACAAGTATTTCATGCAAATATAGAACTGGTATTGTTTTACTGCTCCCAGGAGGAACCAATTCCTGGAATTGGGATTTTCTATTTTAAACTATTTTCACAAACATAGTGTATTTCAACAAGATACCCTGATACTACCTACACTGAGTCACTCATCCCAGCTCAGGCGGAACTGGGTAAGGGGGAGACTTGCCTCTGTTCCAAATTCCAGTTGCTTCAATCACATGACCTACCAATGGAATGGAAGTTAGATTGGCAGAAAGGGTAGTGCAAGTCACACTGTTATAAAGTATTGCTTCCCCTCTGTCAGGCTTGGGCTGGCTCTGTTCCTGGATGGAGTTTGGAATGGGGTAATTTATGCCATCCTAATTTATGCTGGGTTCCTATAGTTTGGCTTGCACTGTTAATCAGAATCAAGTCTCAAAGATCTGAATACAGTATTGCTTCCCTGTAAATTAAGATTAGGATTAAAAATCTAATGCATATTCAAAGTGTAACCAATGAAAGTAATTTCTACTGAAACATTATGGTACATTGCAATAATCTGCAATATTAATTTACGATGACTCAGATGAAAGGGAGAACTTGTTGGACTATACCCACCTACTTGGTATCTAATCTACTGGTGCCTGCATACATGGTCTTCTCCTTTTGTGATTTCAGTACAGTCCTATACATGTCCATCCAGAAGTGTCCCACTGAGTTCAATGGAAGTATATAGGACTGCCACCTAACTTACCATAAAAATTCCTTTTCTGTGTTGTTGTTTTTTTAAAAAGTGTTTTTTACACAGAACAACCACTTCAAAAACACAGCCTTGGTTATCCTCAATTGCTGAATCCAGCTCAGACTGCAAAAAGTAATTAACACTGCTTTATGTAATTCCAGCCACGCTGAAGCTACCCATGTGTATAAAGCTGAGCAAGGTTAAAATTTGCAGAACTGAAAGCATTTATTGTTTTTAGTAGCTCAACAGTGCTGGAATCAGCAACTTTAAACAAGTACAGATGGCTTAATTAATTAATTAATTTCAAGTATTTATATTCCACTTTTCAATAGAAAAGATCACAAAGCAGTTTAGCGGCTTATAAACAACCAACCAACAATAATAATGGTAAAACAATAAATACTGCATGGAAATTATCTGAACCCATAAATTATACAATCTATAAAACATCAAACCCTGCGCCACAGAATTCCACTCACTCAATACACTTACACCTGCTCAACTTCTATGTCTGCTCACACATCTGTACCTCAATCCATCTACTACACCTGCACACATTCACCCACATTCACACACCACAATTGCAGATGCCAGTAATCCCGAGTACATACACAAAGGCCAGACCACAACACTAGCAGCCGGATACTATGAGGCAGTCCTTGTCCAGAATATGTGTCAAAAACAAGATAGGAATGGAGGTGAGGAATCACATAGCATGGAAATGGCATCTAGCAGGCAATTCAAGAGCCATTTAAGAAAGCCAGTGAAGAGTTCCGTTCACAGTACTTACTGTGCAGCGTGATTAGTATTTTTTAAGGATTCTGTGAATCTGTAAATGATGTGTTACTAGTCAAAATTTCTGAAGAAAAAAAGCACAACTTACAGTGAATTTTGCCCTCTCTTCCATCACCTCATAACCTAGTATCGTAGGCGTAGCAGGCCGATCTTCCCAGCTCCCAGAGTTTATGTTTTGCTCACTATCTTCCGATGGTTGAATGCAATATTCCATAGATGTGTTTGTACCTATAAATTTAGTCCTAACAAGCGGACTATTGCAAGGAGATGAACTGGCACCAATTGCATCAGGGACACTCCTCTTTTTAAAACTACTGATAGAAGATTCCTCTAGCTGTGCTTTTGAAGAATCGGAACATGTTGAAATGCTCCCAAGGGATGATCTTCTTTGGTTTCTATTCGTGGTAAAACTAGTAGAACTTCCTATAGGTATTGGAACAGGAACATATGGAGTAGCCATCCTTCATTAGCAACCGTAAGAAAGCTTATCCTTCTTGACTGTAGAATTTATGGAACTCTCATTCACGTTCCCGTCCGTTATCTGGAAATAGGAGAAAGTAGGTTTTCAAACAAACAAAACTGTTTATAGAGACATTCTCATAACTTTATTTAAAACATGGAGATTCCCCTCAATGTCTGTATTAAGCAACAACAGAGTATGAATGGCTTTATAAAGAAATGAAAACTGGAAAATAATTTCACACAATCAGAACGTAACTTAGGGTTGCTACATGTCACAAAGTCTTACAAAATGCTTCAGTAAATTCTCACCCCCTAGGATGCTGACCAAATCCTGCCTGCTACATCCTTCTTAACTATGAGGTCATCTTCTGCTTCATCCAATTCAATTTATTTTAAATTCCTGCTACTGTCCTCATTTTTCACATGGTCTAGTCCTTCCCCTGTCCACCCCCTAATATTCTTAAGAGGGTCTCTTCTGCAGTCTTCAGAGAGTAGCTGGAAGTGGGGAGGCACTCTGCAGTTTGAATCTGAAATGTTAGATGCACTAACAAAATTCCCTGTCACAAAATGCACCTAGAACAATGGGAGCTTTGAACACTGACTAGCATATGCAGAAAGCAAAATCACCCAGCATAGATATTTTGATAAGATGCTGAGTAAAGCGGAAGTATGTTCATTTTAAATGAGCTGGCTATCTGATGTATTATTTAATATAGTTCTACCACATTTCACTGCAAGACTCATTCCATCCAGTGAAAACAGAAAACAAATGAACCTGAGTTTCTGAAGAATAGTTTAACATTTTAATTTTATCCACACTCTTAGTTTCATGCTTTTTGGGGAAAGCAGAAGTTGTATAATTAAACAGTATGATTAGCAAATGTAAAGAAGAATAAGCAGCCACACTGATGATCTTCTCCAAAGTGATTATCTCCTCACAATGATACTACAGAGACTGGATTCCAGGATCTCTGAATCATCAAATGATATTCAACAGCATAAATTATATCAACCAAAATTCCCACTTAAAACTGGAAACACCTGTAATCCAACTACTACATGGACTAAAAAGTCAAATAATTTGAAGGTTCACTTTTATAGTTTTCCCAACTCAAGGACTGTATTGACTTAACTGCAGGAAGTAACCTTCTTTATATTATTTTTTATTACATTAATTAGTTGCTTTTTCTTGCCAAAGGCAATTCAAAGTAACTTATGGGCAAATGAGCAAACAAACAAAACTCCAAAAGATACATTTAAACCAAACCAAACCAAACCAACTTTAAAATAATACATTAAAATACATTTCAAGCACCTACAAAAGGCCAGACAGAGGTCAAAGGACTGGTTAAAGAGGAACGTTTTTGCCTGGTGCCTAAAAATCTATATTGATGGCACCAGGTAAGCCTCCTTAGGGAGAGCATTCCATAAACGGAGAGCCACCACTGAAAAGGCCTGTTCTTGTGTTGCCACATGAAGAAGGGCCTCAGATGATGATTGCAGGGTTTGGATTGGTTCATATGGGGAGAGGTGGTCCTTATGGCATTGAGGTCCTGTGCCACATAAGGCTTTATAGGTCAAAACCAGCACTTTGAATTGGTCTGGAAACTAATTGGCAGTCAGTGCAGGATTGGTATTATATGTTCAAACTGTTTTGCCCCAGTGAGCAACCTGACCACTGAATTTTGCACCAGCTGAAGTTTCTGAACCATCTTCAAAAGCAGTCCCCAGTATGATGCATTGCAGTAATCTAACCTAAAGGCTACCAGAGCATAGACAGCAGAAGTCTGGCTATCCTTGTCCAGATAGGAGCATAGCTGAGCCACCAGCTGAAGCTGATGGAAGGCACTCCATGTCACTGAGACAACCTCAGCCTCAAGCAATAGATTCAGAAGTATCCCCAAGTTATATACCTGCTCCTTCACAGGAAGTGTAACACCATCAAGAGCAGGCAATATTTTCTTTACTACAGTCGTACCTCGTTTTGCGGCCGGGATCCATTCCGGAGCCCCAGCTGCTAGCCAAAAAGGACGCAGGGTAAAGTGCTGTGTCTGCGCATGCGAGCAGAGCGGTTTGCGCTTCTGTGCATAGCGCGATTTAGCACTTCTGCGCATGCGTGAGCGGCAAACCCAGGAGTAACCCATTCTGGTATTTCCGGGTTTGCCGTGGATGTTTGCGGAGGTATTACTGTATTTCAACCTAGTTATCTATTTTTAACCCATTCTCTCTCAGCTATGCTTTCTCTTTTCACCACCATTTTAGTGCAGAGATTAATATGGAAGCAATTCGCTGTTGAAACTGTAGATTCAACTCAGTAGCAGCAAGCAGGAAAAGGTGCGCTCTGCACCTGACAGCCCACTGCAGTGTAGTTGCTGCTCCTTACTGGCAGGGAGAGGGGATGTTGGCACTGTGGGGCACATCAGAAGGACCATCAGAGTGACTCAACCAGTGCACTTTCACAATGTTGATGCCCCTGTCAACTTGCCTCCTCCTTCCCTGGAAGCAGCACTGACTCCACTACAGGGATGTCATGCGCCCAGTGCTTCCCTTTGGCAAATACTGAGCTCCACCTACAGCCATTTACTCCCACACTAATTTCTGCAGCAAAGTACTTTACTCCCTATTGAAACAGCCATAGGAAAGAACAGGGCTGAAGGAGGTATTGCAGTTCCTCTTTGATTTGTTCACATTCTGGAAAGGCATGTAAAGACTATCCCACAGTACAAATTCCTTGCTGTGAGGGAGGGAGTATTATGGATGATGATACTTAGCTCAACTATTCCTGCCCAGAAGAAAAGAGTTATACTCTGTGTGGTTTACATCTGACAACAGTATTTCTACTGCTGTACAGTAGAAATTGTCTTTAAAAACACAATGCTAGCAGCATGTCCAACAGTAATTCTAGCACTAGGCTACCAGTCCTGATGCACCCAGATCAACAGCAATGGTTACTAAGATCTGCAGGTGAAATCCTTCTTGTGGTTCTGTCACTACGGGAGTCCTGCAGTGGGGCATGACAGAGCCTTGTCCATGGTGGCCCCTCAGTTATGGAATTCCATCCCCCTTGAGATAAGGCAAACACCATCTCTGTATTTTGGCACTGCCTAAAGCATACCTTTTTGCCACAGCTTTTGTGGAAAGTTTAGGGTAGTATTTCATTGGCTATTTAGTAATATTTCAAAGTATTATTAACTCTTGTGTTTCAGTTGTGGTTATAAATGAAGGAAGCATAAGTAGTGACATAAGCTTTCATGGACAAAAATCCATTTCATTTGATCCATGAAGTATTAACCTAGACTGGCAAAGATAAATACATAACTATAAAGAAAAACCCTACATAGGGCAAAAGGCCATTGAAAATCAAGAGACCGTCTGTTTGTTAGATTTATATCCCGCCCTTCAACGTGGTGAAGGGCAGGGTGCAACCCTAACAAGCAAATAAGCCAAATCATTACTCGAGATGTTTACTAGTTTTTGCATATTCAGCTGCCAGTCCCGTGCATCTGACGAGGCTCCAAAGACCACAAAATTGTAGACCACAATAAAGCCCTTTCGAGGCGCCACAAAACTCTCTCGCTCCCCCTCTTACTTTGGCTGTGGCCATTAGTTATTACTGGGGCGCTGAAGCCGATTCCTCGAACCGCAGGGAGCAGCAGCCTGCAAACTATCAGCGAGCGAAGGAAGGAAGATTTACGAGGGAAGATTCCGTGAGCAACATTCTCCCAGGCCCACCTTCGTTTCCTCGGGGTGCAGTCGACGTGTGAGCCCCTCACCCTCCACCAGGAGCTCGGGACCACCGTCCCCTCCGCTCCACAGCTCAGCCGGTGGAGAAGGAGACTCGCGCTCTCAGGGTCGCGGGTTCGAGTCCCGCGTTGAGCGACAGATCCCTGCCCCGCAAGGGGCTGAACTAGATGACCCTCGCGACCCCTTCCCACTCGACGATCTTCGGTCTGGGTCTGGATCTTACTCACGCGACGCCTCCTGCCCTTCGCCGGCCGCCCCGGCCCCTGGTCCTCCTTCCCCCGCACTCCGCTTGGCCAGGCGAGGCCAAGGCGCTACAAGGACGCGCTCCCGGCGTCGCCTACCTGTTGCGCGCCGGAGGCACCCTCGCCGGCCGCCCCTGCGGAGTCCCAAGAGGTACGAGCCGCCACAAGCCGCCGCCACGGTTCCTCAGCCCGTCTCCGACTACAGCTCCCGGGGTGCACCGCGGCCAGACCTGCTCTGCCCCCTCCGCTTGAAAGAGGGAAAAAAAACTTCAAGTCCCGACAAGCAGCGCGGCCAAGCGCGCGACCCGTGAATCGGCGTATTCTGGAAAAGCTGGCTGAAAACATTCCACCTTCCTTCCGCCACCTGTTCCCGCATAGCCTGCTGGGATTTGTAGTTCTGTGGGGGGGGGAGAGGTGTTGTGCTACTTCAGGAACAGGTGGCGAGAAAAGACTCGCTGCGCAGCTCAGACTGGCCTAATGCGGTGTGTTTAACCAAGGGAAGCAGATCCGGCTTTAAAGTTCGCGCGGCTGGCGGCTGTACCCTAAATTCACTTGTCCGCTGGGGAATGTCAGGAAAAGTGTCGCGTCTCCATGTTTTCCTGCCTGCCAATCAACTGCCGCCCCCGCAAAAAGCAAACAAACAAGCCAATCCTCGTGATATTTACTTAAAGTTTCCCGACTGCAATCCTAAATGAATGCACTTACCTGGGCGCGAGTTCCATTGATCCCCAATGGGGCTTAGTTCTGCGTAGGCAAGTACAGGGTTGCACTGTCATGCTTGTTGTTTGTTTTTTTTTTTTGTTTTTTTTAACTACCTAGGTTCGTTTTAAGCCCACCCCTTTAAAAAATAAATAAACCAAGAAGCTAGAAAACAAATGGATTTGTTTAATAGTGGTGCCCGCTCATAACTTCTGCAAAAACTGAAAATTCCCTTTGCAGCCTGAGCTTCATTTCGATGAGAGAGCAGAGTACTGAAGGTGTCGGTGCATTTGTAGTATTTTCTGTATTAAGTTTAATAATAATAATTTATTATTTATACCCAGCCCATTTGGCTGGGTTCCCCCAGCCACTCTGGGCAGCTCCGAACAGAATATTAAAAACACACTAAACATTTAACTTTAAAAACTTCCCTAAACAGGGTTGCCTTCAGATGTCTTCTAAAAGTCAGTTGTTTATTTCCTTGACATCTGATGGGAGGGTGTTCCACAGGGCGGGTGCCACTACTGAGAAGGCCCTCTGCCTGGTAAATAATATATTTAAATAATATATATGCATGCAGCAGGTTCCCATAAATCAGAAGCTTTGGTGCTTCATCCTAGGCTGTTGGCCATGCCAGCTGGGATTGCTGGGAGATGTACTTCAGCAACTTCTGGAGGACAAACTCATACCTGCCAAGGAGGGAGCCACTCCACCCTAAGATACTTAGCCTTCAGACAACTCACAGTGCTGTCTAAGTCTTTGGTGTCTCCAAAAGTGAGACTGCCTTACTTTATTCTTTCCTCTTTCCTGCCACCTTCTCCGTCCCTGACAAGTAATTTCAGAACTTACACTTGAACTAATAATAATAATAATAATTTGTTATTTATACCCCGCCCATCTGCCTGGGTTTGCCCAGCCACTCTGGGCGGCTTCCAACCGAATATTAAAAACAATACAGCGTCAGACATTAAAAACTTCCCTAAACAGGGCTGCCTTCAGTTGTCTTTTAAAAGTAAAATACCGTAGTTGTTTATTGCCTTGACATCTGTTGGGAGGACATTCCACAGGGCAGGCGCCACTACTGAGAAGGCCCTCTACCTGGTTCCCTGTAACCTCACTTCTCGCAGTGAGGGAACCACCAGAAGGACCTCGGCGCTGGACCTCAGTGTCCAGGCTAGATGATGGGGGTGGAGATGCTCCTTCAGGAATTAGGAAACTGAATTTCCTAATTGCCTATTCAGGGAACTGTGCAGTTTGTGACCCGCAGTTCTTTATACACATCCTTGGGGTCCTTCAAAGGCCTTCCCCGGCATCCATAATGTCTTTTTGCTGCTCCACCCACTGAAATTTGGCTTCAAGAAGCATTATGTTGTAGCCAATAGAATAGATTGTGGTGTGTGTGTCATGCCCCCAAGTGTTTCTCTGGTTCGCACACATGCCCACAGGCTCCAAAAGGTTGGTAACCCCTAAGTATACTTCCAGCCAGGCATGTAAGGGTTGCACTGTAAGAAACCTAGCTCTTAGTATTCTTTTGTAAGGCATTGGCACTCATTCTCAGCAGTCAAGCTGGCACAACTCATAATGCTATATCTTTTCCTGTTCTGCTTTTGGTCTTCATTGATTTTTATTTATGGCAGGCTTTCTGTGAAAGCAGCTTCATTCACAGCTGAGTTGCACTGTGAAAATGTTTTGTTAGAGCTGTTAACGTAAACACAGAAGGACAAATGGAAAATTAAAATAGAGCTTGCTTTTTCCTGGAAAGCAAGATGGAGCCACCTTGTGGTGACGACATTCGTTTTGCAATTATTATGAGCAATGCTTGAGCTGTCATCTGATTTTGCTGGGTTCCATCCCAGTAACATTCATCAGATGATCTTAGCTACCAAAATCTGATTCGGTTCAATTTGTTTCTTTGTTCTGCATTTCATTTCTCTACTGTTCATCTTCCAAAACACAGTCAGTATATTGTTAACACCTCCAGCTTTTCAATTCCTTTGTCCACAAATAAAAATGTTGGTGTTCCTGTACAACAAGGGTAGCCCAAATAGTGCCCTCCAGATATTGTTATACTACAACTCCCATCACAGCTGACTATTGGCCATGCTGGCTGGAGGTTATGGGAGTTGTAGTCGAAAATATCTAGAGGGCATCATGTTGGCTATCCTTGCTATGCTACCTTGCATTCTTCCCATGCCCTGCATCAATAGAAAAAAGAAGCAACGACAAATGCTATGGTATAACATTTCTTTATTTCACATCGGACTGTTTCAGTAATTTGAAAGGAATGGGTGAAAAATCCCTGTTGACTTATTTGTGCGGATGTTTTTAAGGTGTGATTCCCCCCCTCATTCTTTTCTAACGCATAACCTTTAGCATCACTTTTGAGGCAGAACTTATTCCTTTGATGTATAATAATTTGTTGCATGATCAGAGCTTCCAAAGACAAGAAAACCTTCATTATTCAGCATGGAGCATGGATGGGATTTGATGAGCTCCGTGTCAGAAGGAAAAGGGAAGGAATTATTTATGCTGCTTCTCTCAAACATTTATTATGCACTGAAGTCAGACTGTAACCATTTGAAGTGTAATTCTGGATTTATTTGACTGGAAATATTCCATTATGTTTAGGTCCAATGAAGGATAGCAAACTGGACTGGTGGGAGCTGGCCATTGTACAACAGATATCTGTTCTTTTCCAATGTCCAAATAAGATTGGAACAACATGGGAAATGGGATGTGTCTTGATGGGCATGATAATATGCATCATTTTAAGCATTCCATACTGTCTTACACTATCCAAGTCTAGAATAAGAATATTTTATTTGCTTATCTGTAAAATTCCAATTTCACTGTTGTCTAAAGGTCAATATTGCCTATTCTAGGTTATTTTTAGGTGGCATATAATTATGTGAGGCATAGAAAATGTGACACTATAAAATATCGTAAGATAAGAATATTTCCCCCTGTTTAGATTAGTTCCTCTGGAATGGACTGATTAGTAGAATTAATCAATATCTAGCCATTTGTCAGCTAGCGGAAGGAGAGACAATATGCAAACACATCTTATGAATTTAGACTTTGCTAATGTTATCAGTTTACAGTGCCAGTCTTTAGGAATCCCTTTTGGAATTTACCACCAATAGCTAATTAATACACTTCAGCAAAGCATATACCTAAAGTTGTTTTGCTAGTGGGTTTGATTTTGGCTTTACATAAAGGAGAGGAGAATCTTTGAGTACATTTTCTATTTTTATTAATAAACATATTCTGGTATCACATAAATATCCAAATATAAAACATACATGCTCTATCAGTAGTGGTGGTGGTTGTTATTATTTGTAACAAAGTCCATCATTTTATAAGTGCAGGTCTCAAAAGTGCTTGTACAGGCATTTCCGCACTTGTGCATGATTAGCACACATGTGCCCACTGACACATGCATCATTCCAGTGATGTGCCAGGAACGGAACCCTCACATAAGTGGGGATTTCCCTGTATATGATAGTGCCAAAGAGGAGAAAAACAGACAAGAGAGTTCTAGGATGCTGCTATTTTCAAACACATGGTTTTTATACCGTTTTGGAGAATTCTCTTACATAAAGATTAACTCAACTGTTCCATTGGTTTTTGAGATGTAAACATAAAGAAGACTTGCAGCTACTTACTAAATTTTAATCCCCAAACAGTCCTAAAAGACATTTACAAGGAGACACCATTTCTTCTATATAAAAGTGAATTCCTAAATTTAACTTAACAAATTCTAAATTCAGCTTTTACTATCATTTAATCAATGCATCAACTTTTAGGATTATCCTTAGAATAGCATGTATATATTAAGATCGTGTATTTCTTAGTTCAACATTTATCAATTTATTAACTGACAAATAAAACTTTAAACACAGTTTTGACCTTGGATGATAGATTAATCATCCAACAGTCTTTAGAGAGGGTTCTGACCTTGCACACTGATTCCTTATTCCTCAAATAACCCTGTGACCTGTGTGATAGTGATTCAATTCAACTTTCTTTCAATATTTATAGAAATTACCCAAAGTACATTTTGGATTAAGTTGAAAAAAAGTTATACAGAATTCAGGGAGAACTTACTTTGTGTCTTTGTGCCTTTCCATGATATAGTTTTTTGCTTTTTACACC